CTTAGACCCTCGAGCCTTTGCCCTGTTCTCCTGGAGGGATACCACTACCGCTGTTTTCAGCACCTATCTGTGTGATACCGGCCCTTTTTTCTGCTGCCGAAACTCGAACGGGGCAGAACCGGTGCTCAAGCGTACTGCGGTTGAAACCCCAACCAAGGAGAGATCCGGGCCAATATCAATACCATAAAAATATAAATGATTAAGAGCCAGGCTGGGACGTTGGAGTTGCCTCTCCTACCGTAGTAAGGTCTATTGTCTCAATTGAGGGCTGAATGTGAGCCCATCCGCTATATTTCTCCCTCTGATCCGAAGGGGGAAATTCTGGAAGTCCCAGAGTCATTCTCAATTATCTCGGCTTTTAGGAGATCAGATGAGAAATCTACGCCCGTGGTTAGTTGGACCGATAAGGGAAAGGGTCGTGATGGGCCGAGGGACCTGGGGAATAGGGTTTTATTTTGGATCCATGGATTATACCAAACGTTCGAAAGGTTAACAACGAGTGATGTGACATGATTCCTGTTGGAGTGGAAAAGCTTGGGCCCTCTAACAGAAACTGTCCTGATTTGTACCCCCTGCATCATTGCCTGTCAGCCAGAGAGTGTACCTTTCGATTCTCTTAGGCCCATAGAACAGCTTTCTTTGTAACAGCGATAGCTCCCCTGTAATAGAGCACCGGGCTTCTGAGGGCTGACGGGCTACTGTGGATGACTCGGGTTGGATACCCCTGGATCTGGCCCGGCTCAAGAAAGATAGGTCAATGGATAGAGTGTATGATAGCAGCGCAGATAGCGTCAATCGTGGAGTCGCTCAGTGATTGATTTCGGGGGAGGTTATCAGCGAGGAGCAACCGCATATGACTACCATCAGTCTCTCCCGGCTTTTCCAAAGTTGAGTATCCGATAATGGGTCCACAGAAAACCTTCTTCCACTTAGTGTTTCAGAAATCCAGCTTTCTCTCAGCTTGGCCACTGCTAGTTCGATCCTTAGTGGGGGGCCAACCATAGTATAAACAGTTGACATAAAATCAGTTCTCGAGCTCTCCAGTCGACCCAATACACCATTTTGGAGCTTCCTCCTCTGATGCCCGTGGTGCTCACTTGAGTACGCCATCCATAATACCAGCCTAAACCTCACTTCCAGATATGAATATGGCGGTGGGGGTCCTCCCGACCATGGTTACAATAGAGCGCACGAACTGAACTTAAATCTTTCATTACCATCGAGGTAGACCCAGGTGGAAACCGAAGGTGAGGAAAGCCGCTCTAACAGATGTGGGCACGGGGTGGGCGGAGTTTCCTACCGGAGTACTAGTCGTGATTGGTATCCCGTAAGTCTTTAATCTAATGTTATAATTTACTTTACCGACTACTCGAGTATTGAAGCCTATGCTGGATGGATAACTGGCAGATATACGATGCCCACGAAAAAGCCCTAGCTTCTCTGCACCAAAAGCCCGGCAGCTCCCCCGGCACGGGTATTCTCTATTAATCAGGAGCAGTCATCGGAATCAGGATGCATGAAGCATGCCTTATACTCGATTCGAAAGTCCGGATTAACCCCAGCGACCAATGAGGGAGGTTATCGGAGAGATTATTACAGGTGGAGTTTATACGGGGTAAGGATGAAATTAAACTTCTCCCACCCATTCCCGAGTTGCCAACCAAGTGTCAATCCCCCTTACTCCCGTACTTTCCACGGGACAAAATAATAGGCTATGGTCAATCCAACTCGCATTAACTACCCAACACCTCGCTCAGCTCGTTCCGCATACCGACGAAAAGGGTTTCTTGTGCTAGCCCGGACTCTAGAGCGTTGGGTTGAGTCCTGTGGGGCTGAAACTTTGCCTGACTCGGGCCTGGTCGGCTCGGCTCATTTTCAATCCTGGTTAACGAATTACAAGGCTTGCTTGGAATAAATTCATATGATAGCTGTTGTCAAATTTGACTCGTAGAGAGCTTTGTAGGGCGACGAAAAATTCTATGTATGATACTATCATACTCTAGCGGGTGGCTCCAATGACTAAAGTACTAGTACGATCACGTGTCTGTAGGATGAATCTAAAATGAAAATGAAAATGAAAACTAAGAACAGAGAAAACAGCATCCTAAACGACCCACCCCGCAAGAGGGAAAAAGACACCATCTCCTTCACAACAGCCCTCCATGAACCTGCAACCACAGCCTCACCCCGCTAGGAAAAAACCAGGAAAGGGATGGGTGAAGAAATAGGAAAATGGAAAGGGGACTCTAAGACCAAGACTAAGACCGGACCCAACTAGCTAAAGAATAAATTGGTAGGTCAGCGTGATACCTCCCTTGTTTTCCAAACTCCTTTCATCCCTTCCCTCCGTTTCCGGAGCTATTCTCGTCAACTTTCTCCTGCTATGAGGGTCATATCCACAGATTGACGGCAAGTGTGAATGTATCCCTAAGCCCCACAGTATAAAATTGGAGATATATCTAATTTTTATCTCAAAAGCAGGTAAATGAGATTGGAGCAAACAAGAGCCAATCAGTGTAAGGTGTTAAAGTAGGACACTCAGTACGTGCCGGCGACCTTAGTAATGTGGAACAAGAGACTTTGGGGGTTGCGCTGGGCGTGGGATAAAGGGGGTAGAGCGATAGTAGGTTTTCAGAAGTTGGATGCACAGAGAGGGTCACAGATCCGGGTGTGTACATTCGACGGAAGTCCGCATGAGGTAATTCGAAATTTTGAAAATAGTGGTGGAAGTCTCCTGGGCCGCTAGTGGCAGAAGGATATATGGGATTGAGGAAATGGGTGGTTTGTTTGGGGAGCGTAATAGATTACGGTGGTTGGGCGGTAGGCTGCCTGGAATGAGGTGTGGTGGTCGTGTGAAACATGGGCAGGAGAAGGAGACAGTGAATATGGGATAGGAAAGGGCAACCTCGAGAATCAGTGGCGGCTTTAGGGATGGAATACTCGAGTGGTTGAACAATTGAAAGTGTCCTAGCTGGCTGTGCTGCTTGTATCATCCGCACAAGTCCCTACATTGGGAACGGCCCCGTATGTGAGGAGAAGCTGCACAATCGATTCATGACATAATGCTTCCGTTGCTTGTAGCGCATTGCCATACTCGCCACCCTGAGCATTCACTTCTGCCCCACGCTCGAGGAGAAGTCGTGCAATCGATTTATTTCTAATTGCTGCTACTACTTGTAGTGTATTGCTATATGGGCTACCCTGAGCATTCACCCCGGCCCCATGCTCGAGGAGAAGCCGTATAATCGATTCGTTTCCCCCCGCCACGGCGACTTGTAGTGCATTGCCAAACTCACAACCCTGAGCATTCACATCTGCCCCACGCTCTAGGAGAAGCCTTATAACCGATTCGTTTCCTTTTCCTGTAGCTGCTTGTAGTGCGCTGCCACAACGGCCACCCCGAGCATTTGCATCTGCCCCATGCTCAAGGAGAATTCTTACAACCGATTCGTTTTCATCTTCTACGGCTACGTACAGTGGATTGCCGTAACGGCTACCCGGAGCATTCACATCCGCCCCACACTCGAGCAGAAGCCGTACAACCGATTCCTTTCCGTTTCCTGCAGCCGCTCGTAGCGCATTGCCATAAAGGCCACCCTGAGCATTCACATCCGCCCCACAGTCGAGGAGAAGCCGCACAACCGATTCATCTTCCCTTGTCACGGCCGCTTGTACGTAGTGCATTGCCATACTTGCCACCCTGAGCATTCACGTTTACTGCATCCTCATCTCTGTTGACTAGTAATTTACAGGTCGTCACTAAATTTAACAAGGAGCAATAGTAGATTTCTGGTGGGTAAACCCTATATTCCTGGGGTTGGCGCTGCCGGAGACGGTCGGGGTCATATATATCGAGCCAGGCTTTGCCAAACTCGAGGACCTTTACTGCAGCCTCGGAGAGCGGAAGTGGGTGCCGTAGATTCAATTGATTTAAAGTACATGAACCAATAGCGAGCGCTGTGATAGAGAAACGTCATTTTTTCCACCTTGTTTTCACATGTAGTGCCTTGCACACTATGTCTCAGTATTCGACTAAGACAAGCGTGCCCCATCCGTAAATCGGCCCCATCTTTTGAAATATGATCCCTTACCTTGTTGCCGAATTTCAAGGCACCGTAGCGCTGGTAGGTCTTGGCCGACAAGGATGTGTTTTTCCGGTGGGTGGTGGGCTGTCCTGAAGAGTCCTCAGAAAATCTCGTTTCTGTCATGGCCATGCTAATAGGTACTTTAAGGGGGTGTTGGGCTGAGAATGCACAAACTGAGTAACACTCAGCATGGTCATGATCGGAGCATCATCCTCTGTGCACATTTAATCACAATTGCCCCAGTAGGCTAGTACTTAGTAGTCTGGACGGGGGCTGGAGGTCTGCCTGGTGTACCACTGCTGTGGGTAACCACCTCCGGTAAGCGGTAGAATGGCGCCTGCCATGATTACGAGGTAAGGGATAGTAGGCACCGGGGCTTCGAGCTGCTCGGTCCGAGATCAAGTATTCCTTTACCGAGAAATGTGCTAGTCGTAACCGGCGCTCTTCCTGGGCGGAGGATTTATAGCCCCTGGCGTCTTCAAAGGAAATAAGGCTTGGGCAAATGCTCATGAGGGACTTCATGTCAAAGAGATCCTCCGGATCCTCGCTATACTTGTTTACGTCGTGTTCTATCACAATGGCCTCCGCAAGCTGGCCCAATGTCAATGGTTCTGCCGAAAACACCAGCCAATCCATCGCTCGTCGAATATATTCCTTCTGCTTCCTAGGAATGGTATCGAGGATCCTCGCGCAGACAGAGTCTAAGTCTTCCGAGAGTGAACCCGAGACAAGCCTTTCCTCTACCTCACTCTTGATTTCTTTGGTAAATTTCCTGAAACCATCCCTGCCGGCTAGAGAGTTCTCTATATACGTCCGGATATCCGGATCTATAGTTTTAGATTGTAACGATATTGGAAAACGGGCAAGCGGCCCAAGCGACCTCACTATATCGGCCTCGGGACGACTGGTGGTGAGAATGGACAACGATTCCGTCTTATTATTAACCCTAAGCTCGCTGACCCAAGACAAGAGACTCCCCTGCGCGTCCTTCGGGAACTCGTCTAGGGCATCGAGAATGATAAACGTCTTCCTGAAACCCCTTATAATCTGCGACAATACATCTTTCAGAGCCTTAGTATCCGCCGACTTTCCGATCGCCCTAGTGCTATTGTATAGATCTACAACCTCCCCCAGCAAACCCCGCTCTGAAAGCCTTCTTGGAAGCTGACTAATAAGTGATAGAAGCATATTGCACGATTTCTGTTTCTCCGGGTCGCTGAAGGTAAAGTAGAAGTAGGCTAATGCGTGATCGTGGTTCGCCTCGCACAAATCCTTGACATCCTCAATGGCAGTAGCGCTAAAGAGAGGTTAGCAATCAGTGAATCATATTGCACCTTCGGATACCTGGTTAAGTTCGCACCTTAGGACACTCTTGCCGCATCCGGCTACAAGAGACAAATGTTAGTGACATTCATTGAAGCATAAGACTTCACTCGTCCGAAGACTCACGTATACCATGAAGCCAGAGAACCCCTCCTCTACCTTCCTTCCGATCGATGTACTCGCACCCCTTGAGCAGCCAATTCCCCGTACCAGGTTCACGAAGTGCGAGTGCGGATGAATAATTGGAGGCTGGGTCAACGACGTTAAGCCATTTCTGTACTTCCTGGAATTTACTCTCTAGGGTTTCAGGAATATCCGATGTCAGTAAAGAAAATCGTTGGCAGGGCTAGGGATAATGTGACCAAGTACCATCTAGGATTCGTAACACCTGTGTTACCGTCTTCCTAAACAAACAGTTAGCCTTTTCAACTTAAAGAGGGGAAACCAGGGAAACGAAATTCCTAGGGAGCAGAAGAATGGGTAACCTACGTTGTGGCTGTAGTTAACAACAGTTGAAGTTTCGATCTCTGCTCTTCAACCAAGCCCAGGTAACGCTCCATTTTGGGCTTATGAAGAGGCCAAAGCAACTTCCTCGAGGACTTCCCCCATCCCGGGACATCTAACTTTTTCTCCAGTTCCTCGAGGGCTGTGGCGTAATCTTTCAAACTTTCGTTTTTTGTCCATTCAAGAAGTCCCGGGTATTGTGGGTTATTCTCATCACCCTGCGCAGCGAGGCCCCGTATTTCCCTCAACTGCTGGTCAATACTCCTAATCTCATCTCCCAGTCTCTCAAAACCGTGTTGGCTCTCCTTGACTGCATGGTGGTATTCATCGCAAAGCTGATAAACCTTCGCTCCGAGGTGAATGAGGGCCAAGCCACTGGCGGCAAGGGAGAACGGCTCTGCCATTTCGTTTCTCACAAGTGCTGTGGGCTTAAGAGGGGAGGTGTAGGTGGTCAAGATAGCTCGGTATCTTTCAACAGTAAAGGATGAATAAAAGTCGGCCTTCGATTTTGAGGTGGGGCCTTGAAGCCTGGGGAGCTTTCCAGTTATGCTTTCCGATAGAAGACTTAGAGATGAGGTGGGATATAGCAACTACTCGTAGAGGGTATCTCCTTGGGGCAACGCCCTTTTTAAGATCTCCGAGAGCGGGGTTCCACAATGCCTAGCGCTTACACACAAGAATGGCAGCTTCATTCCTAGTGGCCGTCGGCGCAGCTGCAGGCCATGTATGATATTACCGATACTTGTATTCAGATATACCGGTATCAGCCCCGTGCTACCATTTTGAGCAAGGATCAAATTTCTTTCCCCGCATGGGCTTACTGCCAGTACGAGTACTCGCACCCGAGATAGGTGTCCTCGAGTACGGTATGCGGTACCGGTAGTTTAATGCCGCAACATCGGGAGAGATTCAGCCCCGGTCTTGAAAAAGTAAGGCACACTCCCCTCACAGCCCCAAGGCTGAATGCCTCTGCCGGCATGGGACAGTCTAGATTGGTTGGCTAACGTCCTTGAGCACTGGTAACGGTATTCTGCCTCACTTCATTTGGGAGGTGTCCTAGCACAAACCCTTTTCCGCATATGCAGGCTGCCTCCCTTCATGTTGCGCAGTGAAAAAAGACGCCCACGTCCGGCGACCATCTCCATGCGGGAGGGGGAGGGCGAATACCTCACATCGACACGCAATCAGACTACCGGTAGTCTATGTCTCTTTTCCGTCTCCACTGGTTCTAGCTTCTTCTATCCCTCTCCTTCTTCCTCCGCATGTGTTGCGCGGTCATCATTCCCCGACAGTTTTCTGCCTTCCATCCTGCCTTACAAGCAGTCACGGAAAAATCTTTCACGCGAGAGCCAGCTTGAGCGAGCACGCCATTCAATCTCGGAAGTCAACCGAAATACTTCCACCATGGTCTGATATGGTAAGGCGGACATTCATCCTGGCTCAGTAATAGTATATCAGTATTCCAAGAATTTCCTTAATACAGGTTAGTATCTTAGAAAATTTCCATGAACTGTATGCCCTAAGGAGATTAATAGCAATTAACAGGCCCAAAATGACCTGGACATTTCAATTCTCTCGCCCAAAATCTGCCCCCTTCTGAGCTTCAATAACTTTATGAAAGCAAAAGTTATTTCGATTTTCTCTCTACTAGTTGAAGCTAACAAGCTACTCTTTCGCCTAATAGAGTTATTTTTCTTATTGAGATTGCTGTTGAAAGGTCTTTAGGCTTTGACTTTGCTCCGGCTACAGGGCTCCCTCACCTTACCGGTATTGTCCGAGACGATTAACCTACTGAAACCCCTCCTCGGATACGGTATCATACGGTGCTGTCGAAGGGTAACCGGCTGTTTAGTGACCAATGAGCCCCGCGCAGCTCCAGAGCCACTCACGTTGCCTATCTCGGGACCCAGAGCCGGGTTGTGGAAACATTGCCATGTATGGCGCACTTATTCGGTACGAGTGCGGCCGATAAATATATTCGTCACGTGCCTTATCTACCAGTAAGGACGGATCGCAGCCAGGGGGCGCACTGAAACTTTCTTATCAGACTCATGTGATGAATATATCTATCGGCCGCACTCGTAGAGGCATCCAACAGTAAAATAAACCCCCTATCAAAAATGCCAAGCATCATCGGGGGACTTGATTGCAATCCTCGGGGGGTGCTTGAGATCCAGCACTGTAACGGGATGCCTGGATATTTGGGAGACAATTGGATGACAATCCAAGACCTAACCTAACCCAAATTGTCATGGCATCCGAGGATCGCTCGCAGAAAGAGTAGTTACCATACTCATTGTGGTTTAGATTTTGCCTTGGCCATTGTCTACACTTACCATTTCTTGCAAGGATAACTCTTACCCCTACCACCCATGGTAGATGGTAGGGGTGTTAATGATCCCTACTCGTGCTGATTATGCCAAGCAGGGGTGCTTGGCATTTCCCTTTCTTGATTTATCACTGTTGCTGTGGTTACCGCATTTTCTGCAATCACGCTGCATCCCTCTGATCGCCATATTTTCCAATTGACAAACAATGAACCGGCAGCGACTACGAGGAGCCTCTCCCCCCCGTACTGTCATCATCCTTCGATTTATCCGAACTATTCCTCCCCTCCGCGAAGATGGGGAGTTAGGGGTTTAGGTTGGCTCTCTAACTGAGAGAAGAAACATCCCCCGACAAACATCTCCACCGAAAACCTCCGAGAAACTTGGGTAAGGGATCACATTACCTACCGTGGGCTCCTACATGCTAGATTATATTGGATAATCATTACCATACCATCATGCTTCCACTTCCACTTTTCGATTTACTAAGATACAGTTGTGGGTGCTAGAGGCCCGGAGCAGTTGATACCGGTTTCAGTCCTGACCTTTCCTACCGCATAGGACCCCCGATATCGCATCCGGTCCCCGTCCTTTCCCTTCATATCTGGCTCCCGACTCCTCCACCGCCGCACTTTGCTTTCCGTCGTTCACATTCGGACCCAACCTCTCCTATCGCATTCCGCCACTGGCCGCTTGATATTTCTACCCGGCTCCCCAGACTTCCCCGCAAGTTCGCAGTGTGTAGACACCGGCCAAGAGCCGAATTCTGTCCGTTGCGAACTGTGCCCCCTAATGAATATGTACTCGGCCCAGGACCGGGATGGGGGAGGTCTGGAATACGTTTTCTATTTACCTTACTCTATGCAGGTAACCAAGCATGCTATCGGTCACTATCGGTCACTTCCGCTATCTGCTTTTCCCCCGGCTCCGCTGGGGTACGCCCAACGCCCGCTCCCCCCATTTCCGCCCGCCGCAAATGCCACGACCCGCCGTCTATTATCGCCCCGATCGCCAGTAGCCTCCTAGCAAGTGGAGGACTTGAACAGCGACGGCACATGTCGCGCGCGTTGCCCCTTACAAAGCTTATTAGGCATCGTGGTATGGAATGGATATCTAGCCCTGTTACGGGGATGGCAGGTAGACTGCCAGGAATTCTAGACCGAACTCCGGACTCTTTGCTTCTTTTCTTTCCTCATTTCCTGCAGCCTACGGTACTGTATGTCCAGTGCCACTACATCAGCCATTAGGAGGCTGGACTGTTTCTGAGACATGTCCGGGGATGGCCCTTTACTCGAACAGGTTCCATGCTATGCCCACAACAGCCTATCTTTCCCTAGGCGGCCTCGGAATCTACGAAGCGGTAGGGATCGGGGCTGTTATGGATCTTACAACTGTTCCACTGTTTGGCTCCTTATGGTTCGTGACCAGCCGCATTTGTGTTTTTCCTTTCTTTTTCCTTAAAGCTCCCGAGAGATCGCCGTTTTGTTGGAGACTATTTACTAGTCAGTGTACTCGTACCTTTTGCCCTTTTCGTTTGGGCTTCTAATTCTACGAGTGATTTCCCGAAAGGCCCAGTCAGGGCAAGAGTTCCACCCAAACTTTCCGCGTCACCGGGGCATCCGGCCCCCCGCACCGTCACACCCCACCACCACTTGATACCCCAGATCTCACAAGACGGATGCTTCACTATCCCAAACAATGCGTGCCACCCCCAAACTCCTTTCACACCAAAGCCCAACCTACCTTCCCGGTGTTGGCAGATAGTACAGGCGGTTACTCTCATGTCTCGTAGGATAGGATTGGATGATCCAGGAGCAAGCCTTGGCAGTCACGTACGTATATACCGTGTATAGTCATGGTCGCAGTTAAGAAAAACATCAAGTCATTGCTTCCACCCCACACATCCAACACCCAGACCACTCACTTTACTGCGCGGATCCACTACATCTTAGCCAACAGTGATTGCGATAGTCAATGCGTGACGATATATGGCCTCAACTCACCGCTATTTCTATCGAATTTGGTTCTCGAGCTGCTAGGCAGCCCTTGGATGGCTGTACTTGCGCAGGGTAGGTCGGGGAGGAAATATCGGAAAAGGGAATACTTGCTGATTTGTGTGGTGGCTGTTCGGGGTGTATCCCATTTTGCACCTTACAACTTCGATAAATTCAATAGGCACTCCCATCCCCCGTACTTGCTCCCCCTCCAGGTGTACCGCTACTCCCGGATTCCGCACTGTATTTGAGCGGGGGTGGGCATGAGAATGCCTGGGGAAGATGGGGAAGGAATATCAAGACGGACGAGAACCGGGCAAGCATACTTTGCAACGGAATTATGTGGAAATAGCTGGCATGGGGGAAGTAAGAAACATAGCTGATGGGCTGTTAGACGGGCGACACAACCTAAGGAAAGCGCAAAGTTAAAGGCTGAAGCGGGCAGGGGGCAAGCATAATTGGCTCCAAGCACAGATGGGCGCGGAAGGGTGGTAAGCGAGATCGATAGGGCTGCTGGCTAACAACAGACCGGGAGATATATGTGTCGGTATAGCTAACAACCTGGGAAACCAACTGAAACACAACCAACTCCCAAGAAACACTCCCCAGAAATACGGTACCATGATCCACCGTAATCTTGCATGGGCTTAACCGCCGAGGGAAACCTAAACCACTTAAGCCAATGCCCTATGCCTAACGCTAATGAACATGAAGTGTGAAACACAAGGCGAACTAAGTTACAACATACCTAATGGCACGAGGTGTGAAAAGAACGGCACTGAGCCAGATACCCAACACCCAGTGCCCGACGCCAAAGTGTATCAGCAAGCCAAGGACCAATATCCGTGCCTATGATACCTGCATGGAACGTGCCCACCGCGCTCCTCCAAGCCGCATGTCCTCTACGTGCACATCTCCCAACTCCACACCCGATAGACAGTCCGGGGGTGAGGACTGGACGGGATGAACGAAGAGTCAGTCGCGTGTGCAGGGCGGAGAAAGGCATGAGTCTAGGAGGGGAAAACAAGAGGTCGCACTTTGTCACACTGTCCAAGATGGAAGAAAAAAGCGAAAGGGTATGGCGGCGGGAAATAGGGAGCGATGTGGGGATCAGATGGATGGATGGGTGGATAGATATGAGGAGATGTTGATGCGGAAGGACCCCGGAGGAGAGAACCGAAGGGGTGAAACTATCCGGCAACAATAGCGGTGCATGGTGTCTGATTTTGCTGTACTAGTGTGATCTATCTTACAATAGGGAGTCAGAAATCCACAACAAATATCTCCACGCCCGGGTAGGCCGCGGGACTGATAGAGGGGTGTCATGCTATCCCCGGGGGGGTGCTAAATGATGGTCAGTGGAATTTGGTGTGTGCCCGTGCGAGAGCATACCTGCTGGAGAAGATAACAAGCCCTATCGTTTGCCTCTGTTCCGTTGTTTTATCCCATCGTGCGTCGTCCATAGGGAAGACGGTTCCCAGGCCCATATCATACCCGAGAAGCAGCGAGTGAATTAAGAGCCCTGTTTCCCATAGCATGCGCACAGCAACTACGCTTGCACCTATCGAGTTTATGACAATTGTTGAATTACCATAACAAGGCACCAAGAGTCCCCATCCATTTTTTTAATTTTCTTTTACCGCGCTCTAGCGCTTCCAGTATGCTCTGTCCGGTGCGGTGGGGCCGGGCGCGGGGAGACATGTCTTACATGATACTGCCGGTATGGGGAGAGACTGACCGTGATACTCTATCACGCACAGGCAGTTTGTAGATAGGTATCACTCTTTATAGCCCGCCCGGGCTAGTCCCCAATTAGAGATATGTTATTATCAAAACAGAAGGATATTTCTCGATTTTTGGAGATGGGCATTTCGCAACTACCACATGTACAAAAAATAGCTATGATATACATGTGCTAGCAATATTCGTCCACAAGCCCCTGCACTTACCTCCCCGCTACCACTATCTGCAATTTATCCTGCCTTTGCTTCCAATCTCTTTCTATTGTTGTTTATTATTTTTCTTCCCAAGTAGCTCGTTGATCTGATCACAGGATAGTAACTCAGTTTACCAGATTCCACTTTCCCAAGATCGCTGGTGCCATGGATTCCACAGTAAGAAGCCCAGGGTATCGATAATTGGTTGGGAGTATGATATCATACAGGGCTGTTTCCTTTCCTTGCCCTGGCAGTCATGGCCGGTGCGGTATGTGTTATGATACCTTAGGGAGTTTGCGTTCGTGGCAGCTAAATTGTTGTGATACTCGCACAGACTGTGATTAGCTTGAAGCGCAAAGTATAGTGCAGTACACCTGGTTTATATATATACCGGTTATGATACGGGGTTGGAGATGGTGACCGCCGGTAGTTTAAGGGTAGGAGTATCACAACCGGCTTCATGTAAGATAGTTAAAATTCCCCTTTACCCCCCTCCCCCCAAAAAAAGTATACACATCGTGGTTGAGAAATGGCGCCGAAAAAAAGAAAAAAAAAGAAGACACCCCCAAAAATGAATTATTGTCTTCGGCCCCCTTTTTCACAAACAGGGGACGATATGTCACTGGAGTGTCATGTCGGCGGTATCACACCACGGCCAGCGTCTATTCCACAGTTTAGAGATCCCGAGTGACGTACGATGATGGTCCGGAACTCCAACATATCGTACAGCAGCAATTTCTGTGATATTATGATTGTGATTTCCGAAATGGAAGGCGGTCGGTGTGATACACACCGTGCCAGGAAAAGTATCACACTTCACAATCTCCCAGCGTGTAACGCTCCATATATTTCCCCAAGCTTGTATGATACCGGTATTCCTGAAACGTGTGACTTTCTGGATCGCTAAGTTATTACAGTAATCAGGATAAAAAAAAAGTAAAAACTTTAAGTACAGCAAGCTTGTGAGGGTGTTTAGTGCTCAGAACACTGCAAATTGTGTACTGCTCGTCATGACAGTGACAGAAACAACTGAAAGCAGGATTGCGGTAGTGGATGTGGTCTGGGTTACTTGAACTGGCTATCATGGTGTTCTAGACTATCTCTTACCCTGTAATCACGGCAGACGCTCACTAGGGGTATGGCAGCTAGACTACCAACAGATCCAAAGCAATGTGGGCCAGCCCACAGATATTCATACCGTCCGGACTGTCAAGTACCATACTTGCCCACAGGGACAATCATGACCAAATGTACAGGGGGGATCATGCTTCGACCATGGCCATACTGAGCGGTACCCGGTTTGTCCATTCTAAGCCCAACACCGCCTTGAAGTACTGGTTAGCATGGCAATGACAGAAACGAGATTGTCCGCGTACCGTACAGTACTCTCCAGGACAACCCCCCCCCCTCCCCCGCCAGAAAATGCCTACCCTGTCGGCCAAGACCCACCAGCGTTACACTGCCTTGAAATTCGGCAACAAGTAAGGGATCTGCCCCGTTTTCCAGAGGAGGAAATTTCGGACCACATAGCACATGGTCTAATTATCCGAGTTCCTACGGTAGGCGTCAACACGGATACAAGGTCCGACACTTCTATCCACTTAGTCCCGTTAAATAATCAGACTCGTTCCCTGGGGCCTCACCCTTAGAGTAGCGCTTTTCACCCTTTTTGCTATTTATCCTACCCCTACTTTTTAACCTTCGTCACCCTAGATGCGGTCGTTAACAAACCACCTCCTCTCGGTGTTCTAGCACACGAATGAGCAATATATGGGGGTTACATATGGAACCTATCATTCTCACCATGATCATGCCTATTTCCCCCCTGATTCTTTTCCGTTCATCATGGCATTCCTCCCCCCGTATCTCCAACTCGAGGCTAGCCGGGGACATGCTGCCTCTAGTTGTTTCAACTCCTCTTGTAGGCGTATGTTCACAGTTAAAGAGAATTTCCTAACGATCTCTGTTTAGGAGTGTGGGAACAAGCACAAGGGAGTGGGTTCCGCGACATATAGGAATAATGCATTATCAAGGGAAACCCTGAGTGTAGAAAGAGAGAAGGAGAAAAGCGGACCCGACGATGAAGAGGGGTTATGCTTGAAATCGACAGGGTCCTTCCTCTAAATTTTGCGACTCCACCTCACCCTCTTGAATTTTATACCCCCAATCCGGACCTCAATGGTCTGGATGGTATCATAGGTCAACTCAACATCATGTGCAGTGACTTGTGTTCCATGGAAAATCCCCACCATTAGCCCTATCAATTCGATGCTGTACCATGGGGAGCGGATAGAAACCGTATATAAAGTACCCAGTAATTTCTTCTCCAAGTAGGACGCAGTGCACGCTCCTTTTGTTTTGCCTCGACTGAGAGCCTGAGTTTGTCGTCTTTCTGCCTCAAGAAGCGGAGGAGGGGAATTCCAACGTCTGGGATATTTATCTCCTATTCGATTTTTTATGGTAGCTGGGATCAGCGGAAAGATCTTTATAATTTCACCGACACATCCGAGCACTCGAGAACCAAACCCCCGGCCCAAATTATCAAACCCAAATGCAGACCTGCTCACGCCTCTTTGTTGGGGCTAGGATTATAAACCCCTCTAGAATGTTATCTGCTGTCTGCTTGAGGGTTCAACGGAGTGCGATCGCATGGGGGATGGAAGCTGGAGAGTTCAACCCGCTGTCGGCGTATGTCTCTGTACCACTAATATCGGCCTTCCGGTATTGAGGATCATGTTGTACCGTAGTATCTTGGTAACCCCACCAAGTGCGGTTGGGAAAGTGGGCGTCTAATGTCCGCTTCCTAGTCGCATCGGTAGTTAGAGTCCGGGGGAGGGGGGGGGGCAATGAATATCATAAGCCTAGGCGCGGAGACAAAAGTTCTCTGCCTCCTACAGTAGTAAGAAATGTTATGAAATAGTTGTGGTCCCTGCTACTTTGGCAGATAAGTCAATTGGCCGACCTTTAGCAGCTGTTACCTATATCTCTCGTTAATGCCCTACGGATCCTGCGAGTGATATTTTACGATGGCGGTCCGAAACTGGTGGCTTGGATGCCGCGTTTCGGGATCCTTTTTTTGATCCTCTTGATCAAATAGCCGCTTCCTCCGGATGCTACAACCACACCATAACCCGGCATATGGCTACCAAATCATCCGTCCCCCGGTATTAAGGGACCCAAAATGCAACACTGTATTTACTAGGACCATCCACTATCTAAGCCTCTAATCTACAGTCAGAGACAAACCACCTCGAGAAGGAACAGTTTTTACCCAAATAAAAACAACACTAACAGCATTCAAAACATGCATTGGGCTTTATTGCATATCCTCTCAGGCGGAGCCAGGGCTTTAGCTGCACCCCCCGCTTTGCTACTCGAGGGATGTAAATTTTTACTCCCTACCTAGAGAGACATAGTGAAGATGGAGCTTGGGCAGATCAGCAGCAAAATCGTAGGTCCATTGCATCATGACTTACTATACTAGTACCGATATATGCGATATCAAATCTTGGCGCGGAGATACGAGCTACACCGGGACCAGCAGCCAAGATGAAAGTACTGTACTGTATGAGCACTATATTCACTGACACGGGATAGGGGAAAGTCCGGTGGAAGTGGCTCACAAGATTTCTAAGACTTCGTGGTTTGTGTGACAAGTAACAAAACTTCTTGGCCAGGTTGTAGCAATAACGGGGCGATGAGTTCGCCGTACTTTTGCTCACCCCCTAGCACATAACAAAAGAATGACATAACCTTACCGTTCCCATCTTCCTTTCCCCCTATCTCTTCTCGTTTGCTTCCCCTTCCCCCCGCCGACACCAACATACCCCACCCCATCCAACAGCGCCTGCCGGTTCCCGCGAACCCACTGCAGTAGCCCATCCCTGTCTTAGTATGGCTTATCGAGTTGATGTTGGAGGGATTCCTCAATGGTAGGTTTCACCCAAGCTCCTGGGGTGAGGGCGCATTCTGTTGCTGAGTCATTGCTCTGACCACCCCAGTTATTAGCTACCGCTCCACTATTGCGGGAAGAAAGAAGCGGGGGTGATATAGTCAACAAACTCTTTAATTGAAAGCCTCTTCCAAGCCTTTCTCCACAATGGTTTTTAGAAAGGTTTCGCACCCACCCATTACTCCTCTTTCCTTCACCTCATCATCGCTCGAATTCTCCAAGCCCATGAGTTCGAACATTAAGCAAGCACCCAACCTGATTCTTCCAGTTGGTACCTAAAGTGCACATTTCCAGGCTCGTTTTGCCTCTAACCCAGTGGTCCATGTTAATGGCCATGTCCCGCTCATGCTGTTGGGATGCCTTAAACCCTCTTTTATGTCTGTGGCAGCGGCGGGCGTGTTCTTCTTGTTGGCTAGGAACAGGGGCTGGTTTTTCTGGGGGCTCGTGGCGACGATGAACCACGCAAGGCGCTTTTCGCTAGTGGTCGTCGAGAGCTTGGAAATGTGCGGGTGTGAAGAGGTGGATCCGAAGAGTCGGCGGCGCACGATGTCCGCGGCTATCTTCATATCTTTCACTGGGAGGAGAGGGAGTTCTTGGATTGGTGGGGCGAATATCTCGTTGTAGTGGTCCACCTCGTGGATTAGGCTCAGGGAGGCATGGGGGTTGCAGCCTTTGATCGTTTTTATAATCCCGATGCCGGTGCGCTCGCGGGGGATTTTGGTTTTAAGGGCAGGCTGTAAAACAGGGGGGAGGTGATTAGTTGGTGTAAGTGATAATCTGCCTCTGTGGGGAGAAGTCACACGCCTTGATTCCCAGGAGTTTCATGGTGGCCTTGACTTTAGGAACTATAGTAAAGCCGATGCATGAGGCAAAGCGGATTAGGCGGAGGAGGTGGGGGAGGTTGTCGGGGGAGGTTTCTTTCGGGGGTAGTGGAGTGCGAATTAGGCGGGCGGCCAAGTCCTGTAGGCCGAGGCCTGTGAAATCCTCCACTAGTTCAGTGTAGATTGTAAAAGAGGGTGTTGATGTGCAGTCGTAGCGGTGGGCATCTTGGTTTGGGGTTCTGAATTCCTGGGGCCATCAGGTCAACGTCCCCTTGTGAAACAGTTGAGGGTAAAGCGGAATAGACCATATGCGGAATCCGACTATCTCCAGAATACGACTCACTCCTCAGATTAACAAAATCGACATCCAACCCTAGAATCTTCGTACTGGCAGTCTCCAGATACTTGGACTTCTTGGGGTTGCTCTCGATCTTGCACACTGTTCGGTTTGGGGCCGTACTTCTCCATGTTTGTACTGATGTACTCGGACAGTCGAGTTGCGAAATCGTACCCAGTCAGATTTTTTATCCCCATGTCGATGTCCGCGTTTCGGAGCCCTAGCCCAACCGCCGGTGAAGCGCAAAACCAGGCGGTCATCCTCGGGCCTGTCTTTGTCAACTTCTTGCGCGGCGTCGGCAAAGAGTTTGGGTATGGCGGCTTCCTCAGACGAGAGGTTTAGAGTACGCGGGGTGGTAAGAATGGGGGGTTGACATTATGCTGTATTTTTTTTGAGGCGTTTGTTGGGGGTGGGGAGGATATGGTGGTGGTGGTAGTGTTGGAGATGAGTCGTTTGCTCTTCTGATGGGTTCTACCCCCGGGGATGGAGGGCGAGTGTGGGTCCCAGCCCTTGATACTACCAGTAGCGAAGTGAGGTATCTCGGGGGAAGTACTCGTAAGTCGAGTGACACACAGATCTGGCGCATTGGTGAGAATTGGGGTAGACATGTTTTGTGGTGTTTTTTGTACAATGGAGAAACGTCGGGCAACACCCGGAATAGGCTGGCGACCTCCATAATAGGCTAGTAAACTGAGATTCGTGGTGCCGCGCTCGACTTACCCCGGCATCCTCACTCTTCTCCGCCATGCTAGATCACTGCACAAAAAGTCGTCCCACACGTGTTAGGTAATGGGTGTAAGCCTACGCTATGCCATCTATCCCCATTGAAAGTAAAAACAAACCACCATCAACTAAACAATGCAGAAGATCACAAAATACAATGCCACATAATGAGTGGGAGTGGCTGCTGGCACGGCAGTCGCAGAGTGCAATCCCTCACACTACAAGAGCAGCCTCAAGACTACTATTACACTCTCTACGGCCCTGTGGAGGCTATTCCAAAAGAGGTGCCAATTCTCGGCGCGGAGGCACGATTACCAACGGCACGCTGCACTCCACCCCCCACGTTCCCATAAATCTCTCTCACAATAGCCAACATCAACTTTGACTCGAGCCTGTCCACAGATTCTGTGATTGATTTCTTAACAAACGCTTGCGTCTCCTTTTGGGTCTGGTGTATCTCCTCCTTGGTACCCCATATCTCTAGGAATATTAGTCAAATGAAAACCAAGGAGTTTGATCTAGTGTTCGCAAGCGGCTAGTCCGGCCAGGCTTGAGGTGCAGGGCAGCCGGCCTGGGCTTCTTTGGTGACCGGCCGGGCCGGACTGTAGGCCATAGTCCGGCTTTACTGGCCTATCTGACCGGGCCTGGCCGGACTGTAGATATCTGCAGGTTTTTAGATATCTGTGGGCATTTTCAGATATCTGCGGGCATCTTCAGATATCGGCCGGCATCTTCTAACATCTGCAGGCATCATCAGATATCAGTGGTGCACAGACGCAATATTTACTGGTCAGGTGGCATATACCAAAAGCCTACCGGTGCCCCCGGGCATCCATGTAGCCTATAGGCTTCATCAAAGCCTGGCTGGGCCGGACTATGCATCTGCAGGCTATCTGCAGGCCGGCCTGGCCACCTGCGAACGCTGGTTTGATCAGAGCGGACATACTGCTAGAGCACCACTGACGAGCAGCCCTAAAGCGATCCAATAACCCCACTGAACCCCACTATCAACCCCGGAATCCATCCTGTCAAGTCTCTGATCGAGTCTGTCAAATCTTAGATCGAATTTGTCGAGTCTATGGTTGATTTGGTTGAACCCAGTATCGACCTTCGAACTAAGCGCAGCATATCCCTTGCATCCAGTTAATATATTTTGAAGTTGATTTTCAATTACGAGGTCTTACCTGCTCCAGTCTGCCGACTCGACTGGGAAGCGAAGTATTGACCGGAACCCCCTCGCCACTCTCCACCTCCAGATCTGCATCGGTATTCATCCTGCAAATCACCTTGTTAGTACCGATTAAAACAAATTCTAGTTGTTCACATGGGCTGACTCACTTGAGGGCCAGAGGAAAGACCGCGTTTGCCATACAGACCGGGAAAACGAATGGATTGAGTTATTCTGAAACTGGAAATTCTCCCAAGTTTGGTGATGTTGGTGAGAGGCATTTTCAGGTTCGGTGGTTGTTGTAAAGGATGAAAAGAAAGGACACGAAAGATGTTCGGGTGTGAGTCTCTTATATTAGTGCGGTTGACAAATATATCCCTCACGTGCCTTATCTTGGCACAAAGCAATCCCTTCGTTCGCACCAGTGGAAACTTCCAAACTCCAGGGGGCAAACGTGCCGAGGATTCGACACGGGAACGCTAGTATGGAGGTACTCGTACCATACATCCACACCCCGCTGTCCCGGATCTCGACTACATTTTATTTTCCTTGGCGCACTTCTATCCAATCAACTTGCTTTGTTGAACTCTGAGTGGTGCTTCATTCCAGGAATTTGTTTGACACATTTGTTTAGGTTGGTCTTCGGACTGCTTTCTTGGGTGGACAGCTTGCTATTCTGCCTTCCTTGGGGTCTGGGGAGATATCTGTGGCTCTGACCCAGTATCCCGGGCTTCGAGTTGGTGATGGCAGGTCTCCCTGCTGGAGGGGTGTCCTTTACTGGACACTGTGCTTCTCCTTACTTGATTTCACGATCCTCTTCCTCCTCTGGGAGTGATGATGAGGTGACGGCCCTTCCTGCTGTCCCTCTCCTCCACGGCGGTCGCGGTTTGGTCCTGGCGACCAACTGCTCTCAGGATGTTTCTGGCTGGGACTTTGGATTTCTCCAGTTCCGTCATGTTTACGGGTATGCCAATGCCTGCCGAGACGAATTCGATTCACAAGTTTGACAGGCGGTATTTGAGGCGGCCCCTATGCTTTTTTCTGAAGTCAAGGCCATTGTTACCAGCTTCCTTCGTGCTTCTCGATGCTCCTGTTCTTGCGGGCTCGACCTTAATAGGGCTCTTGGGCTCCTACACCACCCACATTCGGTCAGAAGCTGGTCTTTCGAGCCCTCTGCTATGACCTCTGTGTGGCCCTCGTCTTCCTCTTCTTTGGCGGGGACTAGATTTGTCTCGGAAACCCAGGTGGGAGCCCCTCCAGAGACCATTTCTGCAGCCACAGCTGCCACGACTACAAGGAGGACTGGTGACGGTATCCCCTTTGAATGATTGGGCCGATTGACGCCCCAGGATTTGTTGGTGGGGGCGATGCCGTCGTCGACAATGCCCAGTTGGTTGAAGGACTTACCCTCCAGTGAGAGGGGGTTATATGCCAGTGGCCAGTTCCCATTCCGGAGCGACGACTCGAATGACGCGTCATATGTTCCGCGGAGGGACCTGTATAGACTCCCTCCTGTTTCGGTGCCATCGAGCACCCATGAATTGAGTGTGGCGGGTGCGCCCTCCCCTGTACAGCCCAGTGCAGACGAAGGGAGTATGGTATGCATGCCGGTGGTTGGGGGTGGGTTCCCCCATGAAAATATTAACTTCTCTGGGAAGCGGGCAGCTTCACCGGAGACTGACTATGGTTCTTTCCCGGTCCTGACCGGTGATATGTCGGTTGAGTGGAGTCCATCGCCAAGCTCTCACTTTGCCCCACGCCAAGCTGTTCCCGTTGCTGAACGCAGGAAGCTATTGGCCGTTGACACCCTGAGTGTCTCGCCGATTACCCCGGCAATTTCGCCGATCGGTTGTGTTCGCCCAGTTTTCGGGGACCCTACTCCAGCGGTTTCCTTTGAGGACACACCGGATGTGTACGCGGTTCCTGTCAGGTCCTCCTCACCAGCCCCTGTTAAGGATGAGGCCATGGAGTTGGGGGCCGGATGCACTTCTGAGGTGACTGGGTTGGGTGACAGTAAGCACGCCCCCGATAACGCTGACGGTGATAGATCGTCGGAACCCTCCACTCCACCTCCCATGTTGGTCAGTCTCCTGAATGCAGTTGAGACCCCCCTCCGCATCTGACAGGCCTTCGATGAGGTTCTTGGGAGTGACGACCAGGGTGTTGCCAGCCACCATGCTAGTGATACTCCTTGCTCGGTTGACAAGGAAATGCTCGACGCACTTGACGATATTTCTTCTTGCAATACCCGCCTGCTGTCCCCCGAAGATGACATCGCTGGGACCATCCAAGTCATCCAGATGAGGATGACCCGGGAGGAATACATCACGTTTGCCGAGGTACACAAAGACACAGTTGTGTTGGTAACATCGATCAACCGGCTGTGGGCTAATGTGGCCCAGCTGATCTGCGGACAACGGCCGGACATTGCCATGAGTGATGTGCTTGATAACGGGGCGCCCAAGGCGGTACCCGAGCAGAAGGAAATGAAGGTGACATTTGCTAACGTTGCTGGCAATACACAGGGGCGTCAACGACGCAATCGATATCGAGGGAAGAAGACTACTACCGTGGCTGACCCGATTGAGACGCCCGCCGTTAAGGCCTCCCCTCCTATTGCGCCCGCCCCTGCTCCACCTACACCCGCTCCACGTACACCCGCGCCACGAGCGCCGATACCCGCACCTATGGTGCCCACTCCCCTGGTTGCCAGTAAGCCCAAACTGGTTCAGATGGCCAAAAAGGGTGCCCCGGTGCCTATGGCTAATGTGGTGATGCCCGCTGTTGGGCCGGTCATTCCTGAGGGTCCCGCCACAATGGCTGGTGGCCAGTGGAGAACTGTAACCAGGAAGGCCGCCCCTCCACCCAAACCTGCGCCGAGACCTTCGCCTCCGGCCACCTCGTCCCCACGTCCTAATGGGTGTGAACGCCACCTCACGATAAGGTTCAAGACGAGGAATTGCATTATCCTTCCGGATGGTGTGACAACCGAGACGATCCAATCCTGGATCAACGTTTTCATGGCTAGTAAGGCCAAGATTATGGGGAGCCATCCCTATGTGAAGGAAGCATGGCTTAGACCTGATGTGGGATGCATCTTATTGATGTTGGCTGACCATACAGCTGATCAGATTTCTGGGTGGCTCGACGGATGCCATGGGGTTATTATGGGCGACTTGGGGTTACCAGACTTCGAGTTCACCAAGGATCAGGCAAAGGCCAAAATTGTTGTGGTTGGTGTCCCCCTCTCGGACACCGGAGGTGGATCTGGATGGAGGGTAGAGAACTGGACCGGCGACGGGGCCTATGATGGTCTCCGAGTCGATCTACAGGGCGCGAATCCTGGGCTGGTTGTGTCTGGGCAGCCGA